GAAATGACATAGTATACATAAAGTGCTTAGTACACCGACAGCCCCAATAATAGTAATTATCATTAATAATCAACATATCACCATATATGTTTGTCAGCTACAGTGGCTCAAATGTTGTCATAAATGGATTTTTCTTTTTGGCTTTGAAAAATAATAAATTGTTATTTCAAAAAGAAGTTTTTGATTTTGAAGTTGTTTTTTGACACTTATAGTACTTCGAATTAGAACACCATTTAAACATCTATCAGTTTCTTTTTTAAAATATGTTTTTGGTTGTAGATGGACACAATACCTTTATTTTATTTTTATGTGGTGTTGAGGATTGAAACCAGTGCCTTCCACATGTGAGGTGAGTGCTCTACCATTGAGCTACAACCCCAGCCCCACATCTATTAGTTTTTTAAAAAATGTGTATGAGTGTAGTAGTTGGTTTAGACATTTAGTAGTAGTTTACCAATTAAAAAAAAATTAAGTTATAGTTATGTACAGAACACCATGCTCAATGAATGAGTTTAATAAAGAGATATAAGATATAAAGTTTCTGTCCTTAAGGACTTTGCAGTATGGCTGGAAGGACAAACATGTACATATAGAAGTTTATAGAAAAATGTTACTGTTTTATTGACTTAGTTTTCCCTTTGTTTTGTACAAATCAGTTTTAAAAAGTCTCTTCCTTTTTACTTCTTTCTTTCTAAAATATTTTTTTAGTTATTGTTGGACACAATACCTTTATTTTATTTATTTTTATGTGGTGCTGAGATCGAACCCAGCATCTTGCATGTGCTATGTGAGCACTCTACCGCTGAGCCACAACCCCAGTCCCCCTTTATACTTCTTTATATACTTATTTAAAAAAATTGTTTTTCGTTGTTGATGGACCTTTATTTTGTTCATTTATTTATACACGGTGCTGAGAATTGATCCCAGTGCCTCAGACATGGTAGGCAAGTGCTCTACCACTGAGCCACAACCCCAGCTGTATGTATTTATTTTTTATATTAACTATACCCTTTTGTGCCTGCTTTTTGAACTCAATTCATAGTGGCCTTTTAGAAACTCCCCAATGTACAGATTAGCACAATAACTTCCTTGGCAATGAACTTAGTTTCTATTCCTTATCAATTTCCTTTTCTAAAAATATTAATCACTATACTTGTATACTTTAGTTTTCAAGTATTTAGGTATACTGCTTTTTGGGAGGACAGGGGAAAGTTTAGAAAACCATTAGGAAATTTTAGAAATTGACATTGTCATATCTTACTATTTTTCCAATTATAACTTTGTGAAAGGAATGGTGACAAGGATTCAGCAGTTGGCCATTCATTCAAGATCAAATCTTCTAATCATTCACCCTTTAAAAGAATATAGAATGTCTTTATGTAATAGGACAAGAGAAGAAATGGAAATTATTAAATACATGGAAAATTTTCTAAAAGTCCTTGGTTGCTGACCTTCTAAGAACATTTTTGGCTATTGTGAACTTAAAAAATATTTCAGAATGATTGACTTCTGAGTATGGAAACACTGCAGCTGTCATGGTCACACATGTAACTTGTATTTCTTTTTAAATGTTGACATTTTTATTGTTACTTATTTTAGGTTTTCTTGCCTTTTGTTGAAGTAAGAGGACTCTGGACAATTTTTAGCTGTGGAAAAGAAGCCATCTCTTGAAGAGTTTGATTCTGCCACTTATCATAATCACTTTTATGTCTTAGAATTCACAGGTGTGGGGGAGCCTATGTGTTTTACCTTTTGACCTTCAGATATTTTGGATGAGAGTGAATGCTTTTAAATTTATTATCCAGTTTCCTAATTTTAAAATTTAAGGAGTGAAAGGAAAAGGAGAAAACATCCTTCTGAAAGATAGACCTGATTATTTGTTAGCAGGAGAGCTACTTAGTGAGAGGTGTAAAATTGTTTAATTTTAGTCGTCTCATTGTTTCAAGCCTCCTAGGTCAAAGGGTTTCAGAGAAAGGGGCATAGTCTGATCTCTTGTTACCGTCATCAAGCTCCTATCTCTTGTTTTCTTATAGCATTGAAAGTTTCTAATTTTGGTATAAGTAATTATCTTGTTATTATATAAATGTTGAAGCCTCTTTTTGACTGCCACATTCAGTTTTTCCATTTGCAAATAAGATTATACCAACTCTTTTATTTTTAATTAGCTAAATACGTTGTTTGCAGTGCTGGGAATCAATCCCAGGGCCTTGCACGTGGTAAGCCAGTGCTCTGTTACTGCTAAGCTCCATCCTCAGCTTCTTCAAATCATGTAGATGGAAACTTTAATAGAAGATCATTTCTGAAGAAATAATTCCTCTTTAATATTGCAAACAGTAAGAATCAGCTTTCTTTTTAAATTTCCATCTTATACTCTACTTGCCTAACTACCATTTTTTAAGGACTCTACCCAAATTCATAAATGGTACAATGACTTCAGATCACTTTACAACTTAAAAACCAAACAAATATCTATTCGGTATAAAATTAAGCATGGTTTAAATTTTTCTGAATTATGGTTTAAAAAATCAATTTGATGTACCTAAATAAAGCCCCACTAGTGGTAAAAGTTTTCTGAAACTTATTCACCATCTTTTATTTTTGTTGGTACAGCTATTAGCCTGACATTTTAAGATAAGCATAGTATTCATTAGCAAATTCACCATTTTAAAAATTTAAAAGTTTGAATACAAAGTAGAAAGTTATAAAACTATGTAGTTACATCCTTTTTTTTTGTACCGGGGTTTGAACTCAGGGGCACTCTGCCACTGAGCCACGTCTCCATCCCTTTTTTTGTATTTTTTTTAGAGACAGATTTGCTGAGTTGCTTAGCACCTTACTTTTGCTGAGGCTGGTTTTGAACCTGTGATACTTCTGTCTCAGCCTCCCAAGGTGCTGGGATTATAGGTATGCGCCACTGCTCCTGGAAACATCCCTTTTTAATAGAAAAAAGTTATGCAAAAGAATGTTTATGAAGATTTATAAGTTATATCTAAACAATTAGTGATGGGGAGTTGGTTTAGTTTGTTTCTATATTGTCTGAATATTTGGTCAGAATTAAAAGGTGTAGGTGGTAAACTAAGTGGAGTTAATGTTGTAAAGTGTTACTAAACTAAGTGGAGTTAATGTTGTAAAGTGTTACATCAAAAGTAGGTTTTCTGAGCCCTGAGAAGCAACCGTTTTATTGGATTACTTAGATGCCTGAGGATAATGTATCCATATAGCACAAAATTATTGATGTATTAGGCCCTAGTATTCTAATATTGAAGTGAATTTAACAGTATCACAAGGAAGAAAAATAGTAAAACTGAATAAAAAAAGAATGAAGGTATGAAAAAGTAAACTAATTCTCTACCTGGAGTTAACCTTAATTGTTTAATATATTAATTAATTAATGTGCTCATTGCAAAGACCACAAAAGAATTCACTGAAAATATGATATGATTTGCATTCCATTTTCTCTAAGTTGTTGGATATTGCAACATATGTAACATAAACCACACATCAGCTGTTTCCTGCTTCACTGTTGACAAGAGCCCCATTCATAACTCTTCTTTTTATCCTTTCAGTGAATAAGTAATTATTCAATATAGAAGGCAGGATATTTGGAACTGGCTATTTAATGTGGCAGCACTCTGTAATGAAATCTGCTTTACTAGCAACCTAAGAAGGCAATGTAACAATTCCAGCATGGCTGTAACTTTATCTGCTTTGACTGACTGTTTATTTGGCACATCAGTGAACCTTTTATCCCAGTGAGTGACAGCTCCAGAAGGGTCACATTTACATCCATTCTATCATGTATTGTAATATTTAATGGCGGACAAGGTTGAGTGAGACTGGGAGTAACTTGAACTTGCTTTTCCACTGAGTTGAGGCTAAAAGACAGCTTGATCCCAGTATTGTGGTGTAACATACTATGACTTAGTATTTGTTCATGAAGACTACTCTTACTGATTACAATTAAAAAAAAAAAAAAGGAAAAAAACCCTAAGAACTTCAGTAAGTAGAGTATTTGTTCTACTAAATGAAAACTTTCTAGTACAAACTTTTTTTTTTTTTTTTTAAGGTAGTGTGCTGTTTGCCTTTTTTCCCCCTATCAGTGGCCATTTTCACAGTATTTCTCTTAAATGAAGCTTCATTATCTCTCCTTTGGTGTGATAATTGAGGCTTTAAAGGGAGGAGTTATTAAGAACCCAATAATTCTAATATATAGCATTCAACTTTTTCGACAATTTGGAAATGAGATAAATATCAGGTAAATATTAGACTTTATTCCTTGTTATATGTGGTGTATTTTAGGAGACATTTACATAACTATTTCCCTGATGAAACTGAATTATAAGTGAAATTGTCCAGGAAGAGCTTTGCCCTATAATACTCTATAATAATTTTTACTGATGGATTTGCATTCCTTGACAGGTAATTGGATTTTCAGGTGTACTTTTTCAGATAAGCAAACTGCTTTTATTTTAAATATTAGTATTTTGCATTTATTTAATACCTTTGCTGGAGAAGAATTTTATTTACTCATTTTTTTAGTGATACTTGAGATTTAACTTGATATTTCTGTTCTTTTGTAAACTATATTTAAAGTGCTTTTAAAAACATTGGTGTAATATAAAATATTTTAGTGAGCTATGCTATGAGCAAAAGTATGAATTCTAAATTATAACCACAAGTTCATATGAAACTTAAGCAAAAATTAAAATTATCTTCTTCATTGTCATATAATTTTTATAATTTATGAAAGAGAAGGGTTAAAATATACTTAAAACAGTTGGAATTACAGAGTTAAAGTGACATGTTAGAAACTTTTGAAAGAGGACTAATTTGAAATGAAATTTGTAATTTTTTATTTAATGGCAAGTTTTAGATATTGTAATATCTTGAAATTTCCTTTTTAACAGTTGTGATTCATTATTGGTTCTGATTCCGTGAGAGGCTTGACAACATTTTATATGGTAGTCCAGACATTCGTTACCATTTCTTTCCTTCACTACAGCCTCCTGGCCAGTGTTCTAAGTGCTGTTGTTCTGCAAAACAAGGAAACAGTCAAGAGTCTTCAAATACCATTAAGAAGGATCAAGGGGGGAAATTCAAGAGACCCAAAATATATTTTGGGACACGTACACACAAGCAGATCGCTCAGATTACTAAAGAGCTCCGGAGGACAGCATATTCATGGGTGCCAATGACCATTCTTTCCAGCAGGGATCATACTTGTGTCCATCCTGAAGTCATTGGTAACTTCAACAGAAAAGAAAAGTGCATGGAATTTCTGGATGGAAAAAATGTGAGTAAAATTATTTTGTTTTAGAGAAAAAATAAGGCTGAACAGATTCAAATTACTTACAGTATTTTATATGTACTTTTCTAGTGATAATCAAATAACTTATGCAAATCAAATTAAATTGCTAGTATTTTTTGTTTTTTAGTTGTAGATGGCATATACCTTTATTTTGTTTATTTATTTTTTATGCAATACTGAAGATCAAACCTAGTGCCTCACATGTGTCAGGAAAGTGCCCCACCATTGAGCCACACCCCTAGCCCCAGTGTTAATATTTTTTGAAAAATAGTTTTACCATAAGAAAATTTTCTTTAAGTTTAGAATTATAGATTTTGGTTCTAAAGCTTGCATGTATTTAATTCCTTGAAATTAATTTCCATTGGAGTCAGATGTAATAATTTCTAAATTCCTCTACCAAAAATATATGTGGATGATGTCAGACGAAAAGATTAAAAAGTTTAAATGATTTATTGTATTTAGATCTAATTATTATGTTTTACATGTCAAAAAACCTAAAGAGAAGATGTTTATTTAGGCTATTTCTTAGAAAAAATTTAGAAAATAATTTTAATTGAATGCAAAATATGATTATTCCTGTTTCCTAATTCTAATTAGCACAAACTTCTCTTTTAAAAATTATATTAGACTATTGACTTAGAAGATTTCATAAATGCTTTTGAAATTTTCCAGGAAATTAGAATATTGGGTAACTAAAGGCATGATTTTAAAATATTCTTTGAGGTAATATTATTTTGGGAGTCTGTGTTCTAGTATAACTAATTTACTCTAAAGTTGAGGTTGTAAGTAATGAAATTATACTCAGAAATCATTATTGAACCAGTATATGAAATGATATTGTAACAATGATATTGTAACTTATTTTTAAAATTGTTTTGTCTCTCACTACTATTTTATTGGATTGATTTACACAAAAGACTATCAGCTACAGCCCTCACATTATATGATATGGTAGTTCACTGCCTACTATATAGTGTGAGTAAATTATTTTGTCTTATGCTTTTCTTTCGCCAATGCTTTTTTTTTTAAATCAAATGAGAATTTACTCAAGCTTTATTTAGAGCTATTCAAAATATACCTTAATAGATATTCAAAGATTGTGAGATTATAAAATATTAGTTGTAAGGAACTCCAGTGACATATTTGGAGCCAGAAAGAAAATATAGAATTATTGTATCAAAACCATTATTGAAATCCTATAGTTATGTTTATTTCCATGTACATTCTTTCTAACTAAGGAATTGTGACATCTTTTTACTATATATATTTAAAAAGTTCTCTTAGAAGAGAGATGAAAATATTAAAAAGGCAAATGTTAAAAAATATAAATAAAGAAAACATTGTTCATGACCTTCATTGTTAAATAGACATCTTTCTATAATTGGCTACCTGATCCGTTGAATTTCTCAATGACCTGAGTACTTTTTTGGCTATGTATTCTATACAAGAAAATTCATTAGCATTGTTATTTAAAAAAAAAATTTAAACTCATTACTGAGAAAATTCTTCTTTTATGAACAAATACATGTGTTATAAAATACCTTGGAAAAAGTCTTTAAAAAGTTTAAGATTATAATTTCAAGATAAAGTCTTATATAACGTTCTAGAATACTGTAGCTGGTTTTGTTTTTGATGGATATTCACTCAAGTTTGAAACATGTAAAAATAAAAAGTTTAGAGTTTTTTGTTGACCTTTAGTTTGTCTTCAACAAGTATTTTGTTTTTGAATATTAGTGATATGAATAATTGAAAATACCTGCTTACAGTGTGCCTTGACCTAATTCTGCCTCAGAATGGTACCTAATAGGCATAATGAACATTCTTTTTCTTGTTCCCAAGCCCTCAGAGTAATTTGGTATTGTAATGGGGGCCAATTACAAAGTCACCATAGGTGTCTGTGTTTACTATGGCTGAATCACCAAAGAGAAATGATAAATAGATAACTGACAGTTTGAGTGAAAAGAGTTTAAAGTGTGATAACGCTTCAATTGACAGACTCCCCTTAGGGTTGTGTTACACTGCTAAAATGGATGAGCTTTTCTGGTTTTGCTATCAGCCTGCTCAGGGCTCTTTCTAAGTGCCCTCGAAGTATAAACTTTCTGATTTTTTTGGCTTGATCAGAAGGCGCATGTGTTTTTGTTCACTGTTTTATTAAAGTGCCCTCATACTGGAAAATTATGCACTTGTCTATTAAAGATTAATTTTTATTTCAATTAAGAAAAAATGATTTTAACTAGAACCAGAAATGAGAATAATAAAATAATATCTTAGATATAGAATATCTGTTTTTTGTTAAAATGTAGCCTTATCAGTTCATAATCATAGATTTCCAAGGTATCTTAGTGAACATTTTGTACAAAGATAAGCTTTGGAATTGTCTGAAAGACAAATGGAATTAGAAACGGTGAACATTCAATTTTTAAAATGGTATCATTCATACCAGACTTGGTATTATCATTCATACTAGACTTGGTATGAATGATAATTGGCACATCTCCATGTATCTCTGGATCCTCAAATCACAGAATTTTAGAGCTGAAAGGAACTCAAGAGATGGTATAGTCACTGAGTCAAAAGGAATGTTTAAAATCTGATTCTGTTACTCTTTTGATGCTTAGTCGCATGAAAAAAATGGGCCCTAAAGTATGCCCAGTCATACAAGTAATTACCAAGAAAGGAGGAACCAGAACTCAAGTTCTTTAACACCTACCCCACTGCTATTTTTTAATCAATCAATCAATTAATTAATTAAATTTTTAGTTGTAGTTGGACCCAATACCTTTATTTTATTTATTTATTTTTATGTGGTACTGCGGATCAAACCCAGGGCCTCATACCACTGAGTCACAACCCCAGCCCCCCCACTGCTATTTTGTTTACACTAGAAACAAAACTGAAGGAGTTGTTAAAGTATGGGGAAGTTGACACAGTATAAAGGGGAAAAAAAAGAGTAGTAGATGTTAGACAAAGTAAATGAAAAATAATGTAAAAATGAACTAAATAAATATAGTTAGGAGAGGTCTTTCCTCCTAATTATTTTTAATACTTTGGAGAAGCAGCAGGTACTTTCTCTGAGCATGGCTGAATATAAAACTTTGGAAGTATTAGTCTTCTAGTACTTCTAGTACTAGTCTTTGGGAGTGTCTTGTCTTCTTTGTAGGTTATGAACCTTTTATGGTTTACTCTGTTTCTAGCAATTGGGCATATGAATGTACATAATGTGTGTATGTTTTCAAAACATATTCTCCTTTTGGATGATTCATAGATAATTTGTGTGTGTGTGTGTGTGTGTGTAAATATTTTCACTTGTTAAGGATACACTGGGAGAGATTTTTACTTCAAAATCATCTTTAATTTTTTATTAGTACATGGAATTAGTAGAAATGAAAATGACCTGTTATTCTACCACTTACCATTGAATAATTGAAACAGAAAATTAATGCATGTAAATATGGTTAGAAAATCCAGAATTCTAGAAAAGGATAAAATAAAGAAAGGAATTCCCCTGGCCCTTTAACTGGTTACTTCAAGGAAACTACTGTGAAATTTTATGTGTATTCTGCCAAAACATTTAGAAAATGTATTTGCTGTAATATATGCATACTTATTGTTTTTTCTTTTCTTTACTTTTTTTTTTCTTTTGTGGTACTGGGGATTGAACCCAGAGGCACTCTACCACTCAGCTATATCCCCAGGCCTGTGTATCTTTTTATTTTGAGACAGGGTCTCACTAAGTTGGTTAGGGCCTCATTAAATTTCTGAGGATGGGGACTGGGTTGTGGCTCAGCGGTAGAACGCTTGCCTAGCATGTGCGAGACCCTGTGTTCAATCCGTAGCACCACATAAAAAATAAATAAAAATAAAGGTTTAAAAAAATTTTTTTTCTGAGGATGGTCTCAAACTTGCAATTTTCCTGCCTCAGCCTTCTGAGTTTTTGGGATTAAAGGCATGTGCCACTGTATCTGGCTATGCTCATTTATTTAAAATAATAGCTTTATGAACTTAATAATTTTATGCACATTATTCAGTATCTATTTTTCTTCATCAACATGTCTTCAGGAAGCTGAACACATTATCACACAGACAAATCTAACTCGTTTTAGAGTTATAGCTTCTGTGTGAATTTACCATAATTTATTTAACATGTCTGCTGTAGGTGGTAGACATTAGGTTTGTTTTCAGTTTTTTTAATCTGTTAAACAGTACAATTTGTGTGTTTTGTGTACGTATGTATATATTTAGTGTGTGTGTATAGCATGTATGTATTATATATATATATATATATATATATATATATATATTATGTATATGCTATATACATGCACATATATAATATATTAATGGAAAATTTAAAATTTGAAAATTTGACAAATTGCCTGTGTACTTTCTACTATTAGAAGTTTATACTTCTACTAAATGGTGTGTATTTATATTTGTACTAATTTTGTACATTTTTAAATAGTATATAACATACTCTTGCTAGGACTGGGTTTTATCAAACACCTTTTATTATTAATACATGTAATAAAATTTTTTACTTCCAATAATAGAATATAAAATGATCTCAGTATGTAACGAAAGAAATAGAAATTACCATTGAACTTTTTTGTTTTCTTTTTTTTGCAATACTAGGGGTTGAACCCAGAGTTACATCTCCAGTCCATTATTTTATTTATTTCTTTTTTCATTTTGTTTTGAGACATAATCTCACTAAATCTCTGAAGCTGGTCTTGAACTTGTGATCTTCCTACTTCAGCTTCCTGAGTAGCTGGGGTTGAAGGTGTGTGCCACCATGTCCCACGTTGCTGAATTTGTGAATATTCAGGCAAAATAATATTAAATCTTGCTAGAAACTATTGAAAAATACAAATAAAAACAAGAAAATGTTATTCTTCACTTTTAAAATAGACAGATAATAAAAGATAATATCAGTGGTGTTAAGAATATGGAAATAGGCCAAGTAAAATGGAATATAGTTTCTGATAGGTAATTTGGTGATATGCTTTCAAGAAACCTAAAAATGCTTTATTATTTTTGATCCCATAATGCCATTTCTAAAAATATGTACTAAGAAATATTATTGTACTGTCATGTGTAACTAATTAAAACAAAAAAAAATTTTTAAAAGTTATTGCACATTAAAAAAAAAAAAGAAATGGGCATGAGGTAATTTACTGCATTATTTTTAAAGCAGAAATTGATAATAGTCTAAATGTCTGGTAATAAGGAAACTGATTAATGAACTATGACACATTAATTTAACATATACAGATATGTTAAATTAATATCTATTATATATGAGTATATGTGTATCTATATACATATGTGTGTACATATATACATACATATATATTTATATACATATATTTATATAGCAATAAAACAATACCTGGCATTATAAGAGCAATTTTCTGACCATCTTTAATAAATAAGCAGAGGAAAATAATAAAAATATTTATTTATTTTGGTTAGACTGTTAATAATCCTCAGTTCCTGGGGAAAATTTTATTCTTATTGTAGCATTGAATTGCATTGTAGAGATATATCATTAAATAACATGTATAGAAGAAATACAAAATAAAATACATCAAAATGTTAATAGTACATTTTTTGTGTGATGGAATTATAATTTAGGAGTTTGGGGGATATCCTTTTGTATTTTCTTTTTTTTTTTTTAATTTATTTTTTTTATTGGTTGTTCAAAACATTATAAAGCTCTTGACATATCATATTTCATACATTAGATTCAAGTTGGTTATGAACTCCCAATTTTACCCCAAATACAGATTGCAGAATCACATCGGTTACACATCCACATTTTTACATAATGCCCTATTAGTAACTGTTGTATTCTTTTGTATTTTCTGATTTTTTTTTTGTAATGATCTTAAGTTTATCTCCCAAAATGTTCCAGCCTATCTTTCTTCCTTCTCATTTGTATTTGAATACTATTACACAACTCAAAATTGATCCCCAGCACCACACACACAAAAGGGTACAAAAGAGTCTATAGAGAAAAATCATTCCTATGCCAGTGCCCAAGTTCCTTCATTCTCTTCCTTAAAAGCAACAAGTGACATCATTTTTCTTTGCCTTCCAGAAATATTTTATTCCTAATATCACTTTAGTCACAACAAAGCCACAACAAACATAATTAAAAAATATTTTTTTTAAGTGAATATGGGATATCAGGAATTTAGCTTATCAGGAGCTATGTCTCAACTACTATTGAGTCAACTACTATTGTTTCTTTAAAATGGTTGTGATTGTAGCCAGATGTGGTGGTAACAGCTAACAGGAGGGTGAGGCAAGAGAATTATTTGAGCCCTGGAGTATGGGCAACATAGAGGGACCTCATCTCTTAGCAACAAGCGAATATGAAGTTCCAGTTTTAAATATGGGGTTTCATAAAACATTGTGGTTTTAACAGTGTTCCTAGAATTCTGAAATGAACTAGTTTTTTCCTTCTATCCCAATATTGGTTCATATTTTGATTATGAATATTTGTTTTTAGGGAAAATCCTGCTATTTCTATCATGGTGTTCATAAAATTAGTGATCAACACACATTACAGACTCTTCATGGGATGTGCAAAGCCTGGGATATAGAAGAACTTGTAAGCCTGGGGAAAAAACTAAAGGCATGCCCATATTACACAGCTCGAGAACTGATAGGAGATGCTGACATCGTCTTTTGTCCCTATAACTATCTTCTAGATGCACAAATAAGGGAAAGTGTGAGTATATATGTAAAAAAAATAGAACTTTTTTTTTCTACTTAAGAGGATATAAATGTTGAATGCAAAACTTTTAGATATTTTAATGTCTTTGTTTTTTATATTCAGATTCTGTTAATATATTTACATAAAGAGTACTAAAAACATATTCTAAGGTGTATTAAAAACTGAATTTTAGATCTTTTAATTTTCAAAATAACATCAATTTTAAGGATTTAGGGATTGAAGTGGGATTATAGCAGGGTTTAGCAGTAGACATTTTGGGTTGAAAATTCTTTATTGTGGGGGGTTGTCTTGTTTATTGTAAAGTGTTTGGTAACATCCCAGGTTTTACCTACTAGATGTTAGTACTATCCCTACAGTCGTGACCATCAAAAATGCCTCCAGACGTTGCCAGTTGTCCCCATTTAAGACCCATTTATATCCAACTTTCCATTCTAATGAATAGTCAGAATTATTTAAAATTTTGTTTCTGAAAAAATATGTTTTGATGAACTTGTATTAAGAGAATGCACATACTATGAAAATTAGGTATTTTGAGCTTTTGAGAAATGAACTTCAGATTCTATTTGCTTTGTTCTTAGAGAAATTCAGTTACAACAGATAAAACAAAAAGTAAATAACTTGATATACTGAAATGTTATTTCTTTCTTTAGGTTTGACTCTACTTACTAGCTTTCTATTTCTTTAAGTTTAAAATTAAGTGGTATTGTGTTTGCCACCCCTACTGGTACCCCTGTGATCCTACCTCTTATTGGTTGCCTTTTTTTTTTTTTTTTGGTACCAGTGATTGAACGCAGGGACGCTTAACTACTGAGCCCCATCCCCAGCTCTCTTTTGTATTTTATTTAGAGACAGGGTCTTAGTGCCTCGCTTTTACTGAGGCTGGCTTTGATCTCATGATCCTCCTGCCTCAGCCTCCCCAGCTGCTGGGATTACAGGTGTGAGCCACTGCGCCAGACTATTGGTTGCCTTTTAACTCATTGTCTTCCTTCAGAGCCATTGTTGTATCAATGCTAGACCAGTCGTCATCTTCTTTTTTTGTCATATCCTTTCCTAACTTAAAAATCTTAAAGGACAAATAAAAAATGATCCTTATCTCAGTGGAGTTCCCATTCTCATAATCAGGCAGACCAGTGGATAAAATTATTATCTGAAACAAATGCTTGAATAATGGCACATAGAAAATGCTATGGAGCATAATGGAAGAAGTAATTAATTTTTCAAAGAATGACAAGTTTTAAAAATTCCCTTTGGAATTCAAATGTGATGAATAAGAATACCTATAGAATTATGGGATTATGTGAGTAGAATTATTAAAGAAATTAATTTTTTTAAAAGATGAAATAATCTAAGTACATTTATAAGCTCTGAGAAGGTATACAGAGAATGAAGATCAGAGGGGAGAAAGTATGTAAATTGTAAGTGAAGCAATAAATTCCTTTAATCTAAATTGGAAAAAAAAAATCTCCTGTTGCTCTCTTTGCTCTGGGATGAAGTCCATATTTGTTAGATTGACATTCAAGATACTTTTTCAGACAGCTCTACTAAAATACTCAACTCGAACCCTTCAAAAATTGTCTTACAGAGGCTGGGGTTGTGGCTCGGTGGCAGAGTGCTTGCCTACCATGTGCGAGGCACTGAGTTCAATTCTCAGCACCACATATAAATGAATAAAACAAAGGTCCATTGACAACTAAAAAAATTTTTTTAAAAATTATCTTACAGTTCCCTGAAGATACCTTGTTCTTTCCTATGTGTCTCGTTTTGATGATACCTCTGTTGAAGTATAATGCTGTGCCCTTTCTTTCTTTGTCCTAATCCAAATGCTCATTTTTAAATGCTTTTATTATTACATTATAGTTATATACAATAGTTGTGTTTATTTTGACATAATCATATATGCATCATGCATGGAATTTAGTTTGCTCCATTTCAGTCCTCAGTGCAGCCTCTTTTCCTCCCCTCCTTACTCCCCCATCTTCCTTCCTTCTGCTATCCTCCTTCTTCTACTCTACTGGCATTTATTTATTAATAATTGGTGCTTTATAGATACACATAAAGATGGAATTCATTGTAGTATATTTATATGTGTACATAGCATAACTTTGTCAGTTTCATTCTGCATTTCCTTCCCTTTCCTGTCCTTCCTCTCTCTCCCTGGATCTCCTCCTACTCCACTGATCTTCCCTCTGTCTTTATGATATCCAACTCTGCCTTCTCTTTTTCCCTCTTACTTTGCTCTAGATTCTGCATAAGAGAGAAAACATTCAACTCTTGATTTTCTGAGTCTGGCTTATTTTACTTAGTGTGATGTTCTTCAGTTTCATTCATTTACCAACAAATACTATAATTTCATTCTTATTTATGGCCAAGTAAAATTCCATTGTGTATTTATACCACATTTTCTTAATCCATTCATCTCTTGCCAGGCACTTGGGCTGGTTATTGTGAACTGTGCTGCTATAAACATTGATGTGCCTGTTTCACTAGAGTATGCTGGTTTTAGTTCTTGTGGAAAAATTTGAAGAGTAGGATAGCTAAGTAGTATTATGAATCTATTCCTGTTCTTTTGAGGAATTCCTATGCTGCTTTTCATAGTAGTTGTACTAATTTGTAGTCCTACCAGCAGTATTCCAGTGTACCTTTTCCCTCTCATTCTTGCCAGCATTAATTTTTTTGTAGTGATGATTGCCTTTCTATCTGGGGTGAGGTGGCAATGTAGTTTTGATTTGCATTTACCTGGTTGCTAGGGTGCACATTTTTTCACATATTTGTTGGTGATCTGTATTTTTTCTTTGAAAAAATATCTGTTTAGTTCTTTTGCCCATTTATTGATTGGGCTATTTGTGAGGGTTTTTGTGTGTGTGTGTGTGTGTGTGTTAAGTTTTCTGGGTTCTTCATATATTCTCATTATTAATTCCCTATCAGAAGAGTAGCTGGCAAAGATTTTTTTCCATTCTGTATCCTCTTTCTTCATCCCCTTCATCATTTCCTTTGCTGTGCAGAAGCTTTTTAATTTGATGCTGTCTCACTTATGGGTTCTTGATTTTATTTCTTGAGCTTTAGGGGTCTTTTTAAGGAAATCATGCCTGCGCCAAGGTGTTGGAGTGTTGAGGTTTTTCTTCTAGTAGTTGCAAGTTTCTGTTATAATTCTTAAGTCTTTGGTCTGCTTTGATTTGATTTTTGTGCAGAGGGAGAGTTAGGGACCTAGTTTCATTCTTCTACATATGGATATCCAGTTTTCTCAGCACCATTTGTTTAAAAGGCTTTTCTCCAACATGTATTTTTAGCAGCTTTGTCAAGTATCAAATGACTGTAACTATGTGGGTGTGCTGTGTGTCTTCTATTCTATTGGTCTTCGTGTCTGTTTTGATACTGGTACCATGCTGTTTTTTGTCACTACAGCTCTGTTGTATAATTTGAGATCAGGTATTGTGATGCCTCCAGCATCACTTTTCTTGCTCAGGATTGCTTTGTATATTTTGAGTCTTTTATTCTACTAAATGAATTTTAGGACTGTGTTTTCTAGTTCTGTGAAGAATATCTTTGGTATTTCGATGAGATTGCATTGAATCTGTATAATAGTTTTGGTAATAGGGCCACCAATTCCTCATAATTAAAACCCCCAGTCTATTTTGTATTCTTCCATGATTCTTTATCAGTCATTTCAGCTCTGTGTGTATTATTATTGTCTCAGAATATTATTATTATCTCATTGGCAATTGCTTTTTGGCATTTCCTTGTTGTATTATTAGTCAGGACTCATTTCAATTGCAGGTGACATGAACCCAACTTAAAAAGTTTACAAAAATATCTAACTCCTCTTTTTGTGATGACTTTATTGTCAGACAAGCTCTTTTCTTGTGGGAAGAAAGATAACCATAAGCAGCTAGCTTATCTAGAGAAAAGAACATGCCCTTTTATTTGTCTCTTCAAATTTTTATGGTTGGCCCTGGATTGAATTACATTCCTTGACCAAGTCACTGTGACAATAGAGGGATGGATTATGTTATTTAACCCCTAGGTTATGAGCCTTACCCCTGTTGTGAAAATGGTGATGTCCCTTATTACAAATTGTCCTACCAGCATCACATAGGAGTTGAGGAAGAACAGTACTCAAAATGAAGGGTTGTAGGAAAGACTAAAATGAAACAGATATAATACTTTATTTTATTATGTTGTATTTAGGGACTCATTTGAATCTTATGTTGTTATTTTACTTTGAAAGGTTCTGTACTCTGTTTTAAAATTACATTAGAAACATATTCATCATGGGATTTTATAAACCCTTCCATATAGTTAGTAGTACCTTGATCCATACTCCCTTAATATGTGTTTTTTTAATTGATAGGTTTACAAAGTGTTTTTTTTAAAGTTGTTGATGGACCTTTATTATTTTTATTTATATGTGGTGCTAAGAATTGAACTCAGTGCCTCACACATGCTAGGCAAGCACTCTACCACTGAGCCACAACCTCAGCCCCCTGCAAAATATTTTGAGGGTAAAAACAATGGGAAAATCTACCAAGTAAAACTGATATTCAGTTGACCTCAATGCTCCAGAAGTTTTAAGGCCTAGAATAATTTGCTTATGTAGTGTGAATTTTTAAATGAAATCTCTTGCCTGCTGCTGTTAAATCAATTTTGCTGAATGTTTTATAGGAAAATTCTTTTATCTTATAGATGGATATAAATCTGAAAGAACAGGTTGTCATTTTAGACGAAGCTCATAACATTGAAGACTGTGCTCGGGAATCAGCAAGTTACAGTGTGACAGAAGTCCAGCTTCGGTTTGCTCGAGATGAACTAGATATTTTGGTTACCAATAATATAAGGAAGAAAGACCATGAACCCCTTCGAGCTGTGTGCTATAGCCTCATTAAGTAAGAGTATTTGTCGATTAATTTATTTGGGTTGGCTTTGTAGTAAAGATATGCTTGATTACAGCAGGGTATTTTAAAGTTAGCAAACTATGATTAATTGGGCTATTTGGGAAATGGGTTGTTCCTTACTAAGTAAGGTTAAAAAAATAAAAAAGCCTAGTCTAATCTTTTGTCTTTGTCAAAAGAATATAATGAACATAATTGATTTTTTAAGTTAATAATTGTGAATGGCATTCCTAATTTAGCAGGATAATTCAACAGCTCCAATTGCTGTGTGTAGGACATTGAATAGAAAACATGGTTTTGATTAATTTATTTTATTTATTTTTTTTTATGGTGCTGGGGATCAAACCCAGAGCCCCATGCATGCTAGGCATATTTAATATATTATAAAATTCTGGATCGTGACTTTATTTATTACTTTTCCTTCAGTTTCAATAAGATTCTAGTTTGATGGGTTTTAATTAACCAAGACTTCAGTATACTTAAATAAAAGATTTAGTGCCAATTTTCTTAAAATTTACATTAGATAATTTTCCTTATATTAGACTTTAAGTTGTAGATCTAGAATCTAGTTATCTCAGGAGAAACCTCCTCTAACTCTACATTTCATTCCATGTATTGTGACATTTTGTTTACTGCATTGTGTATTTTTTAAAAATTTGAATGTTATAAAGTAACATGGTTTGAATAGAAAATCTTGCAAATTTACATAGTAAAAGCCTTCTTTCCATTCTGTCTTCTATCTGCTTAGTATCTGTTCTTCTAAACAAGTTTATTTTCAGGGCACATTTATGTATATATGAGCCAATATAAATATATTCTCTTAGTCATCATTTTTTTTTGCATAAATGGTGGGTATGCTAGACGGACTTTTTTCCCTTAATTCAGCTTTTTTTCATTTAACAGTGTATTTTGGAGATCTTTCTGCATCAAGATATAGGAAGTGTTTGTAATTTAAAAAAATAGTTGCCTAGGAATGGTCGTGTAGCTCAGTGGTAGAGCACTTATCTAGCATGCACAAGGCCTTGAGTTTGATCCCTAGCACCACAAAAAAGAAAATAATTGCCTAGAATTGCACTGAATAGATAACAATAATTTTCTTAATTAGCCTCTGATTCATAGAAAGAATTGTATTGGGAAAAAAAGTGTTTCCTCTGCTGTCACACCAGTTAGCACAGAAGCCTCTATGGCTCTAGGAGGTATGAGGATTTTTCCCTGCAAGGAAGCAAGCAGTTCTGCAGCATTAGACTATTAATTGGATGTCCTTTAATTAAACTCATTTCAAGTCTAGTATTATTTGCCTGGAGATGGCATGAGATTCCACAGGTTGAGGGCTCAATCCCAAGACTGCTCCCAACCCTTATCTTTCGATATCATTTGTGAGCTTCAGGTTATTTGATGTGTGCTTCTGACTGACTGCTATAAATTGTGATTCCCATAATCCTCTTCTTGGGATTGGTTAATTTGCTCAAGCAGCTCACAGAACTCAAGGAAACACATTTACTACTAGTCTATTATAAAGAATTTACAAAGGATACAGAGATGTATAGGTCAGTGTATGGGGCTTCTATGCTCTATCCCAGTGTGTTTCTCTTTGGGAACCTCCTTGTAGTTTAGCTGTTAGGAAGTTCTCCAGACCCTGTCCTTTTGAACACCTCATTATACATACATGATTGATTAAATCATAATTCAACAACCTACCTGTCCTGTCTTGATCTTTCTGGTGATAGTCTCTATCATTCAACAAAAGGATATTATCACTTTGAAGAGTCCAAGGATTTTAGGAGTTGTATGCCAGGAAACAGGGAATAAGACCTAATATATATTTCACAGTGTTATAGGAGTTGTTTCTAGTCTTTTGCTATTATGGTACATTGCTGTTGTTAATAACTTTGAACATATACCATTTCATGTGTATGAGAATTACATCTATAAAATTCCTTGAAGTTGAATTGTTGAGTCAAAGCATAGTTCTATTTGTAGTTTCAATAATTATTGCTAAAATTTATACAATCAGTGGATAAGTGGAGGGAACTAATGTATGCTTTTACTAGCTGTGTTTGTGAGTATGAAAGTTGTTTTTTTCCTCCTTGACTGATAGTTAAAAAGTGGAATCCCAATGTAGTTTTCATTTATTTCTCTTAATATGAACGAAATTAAGTGTCTTTAAAGGCTTGATTCATTGTTGCCCTTTGTCACAACCACATGGCTTTCTTTCAGGTTCTCAAGAAGTACATGTATTAACTACCTGAGAATGTGTATTAGGTATACCTCCCTCCTGTTTGGAATATGCCCCCCCACCTCCCATGACTGGATACTTTTGCATTCAATTTTTAAAATATGTTACTTTAGGAAGAATATTATAGACATTCAAATTAAAGTAGCAACTAGGTTATATTAACCTAATTTATTTTCATTATATTATATACCACTATCAGGTATTTTCTTGTTTATGTATTCATTTCTGCATTTATTTTTGTCTCCCTTTAGTAGAGTAAAATTTCTGTGAGAATAAGGACCTTGCTATTCTATGTAATATTATAATTTCTACTACTCAGAATAATTTCTGGTGTGAAATAGGTATTGAAATATGGTTATTGAATGTACAAATGTGTCTGTATGTCAATAAATACATTTATATATTTTCAGATAATTCTCTTGTGTTATATATGTAGTATATTGATTTATTAGATTGTTTTACATTTCTTATGTGTATTTGGGATAACCACCTAAACATGGCTTTCAGTTGGAGAGAATTAGTCAGTAAAACAGTGTGAATCCATTAATACAGCTGGGAAATCACGTGTGTTACTTTCTTCTGAATAAAGCTTAATTTTTTTAAGGTTTATTTTATAGTATGAAACATGGATTTTTTTTTAGTTCTTTTATATATATGTATACACACACACACATATATATATAAATTTTTTTAGTTTTTTTATATATATACATATATATAGGTCATACACACACACATACATAAATCTTTTTAAGTTGTCAATGGACCTTTATTTTATTCATTTATTTATATGTGGTGCTGAGAATCGAACCCAGTGCTTCACATGTGCTAGGCGAGTGCTCTACCACTGAGCCACAACCCCAGCCCCCAAACATGCATTTTTTAAAGATGTGTTAATTAATCCACTCTTATGTCCTAGGAGCTTTAAGAAATACAAATTAGAGTGTGACAATAACAATTCTCTTGTGTTGTTAAATAATGCATTTAAGGATGATACTGGTTGACAGTTATTTTATTTTATTCTAGTTGGTTAGAAGCAAACTCTGAACATCTTGTAGAAAGGGATTATGAATCATCTTGTAAAATATGGAGTGGAAATGAAATGCTCTTAAACTTATATAAAATGGGCATCACTACTTCTACTTTTCCCATTTTGCAGGTAAGATTCTTTTTTTCTACCTGTGAAATTGATTTAATGAACTAGAATTGATTTAATAGTGAGTAAATCCAGTGAATTACCCAGAATTTATAAAAAAAATTGTTTAAAAATTTTATTAGCTTAATCTGAAAATCTTTAAGTGATGGCATGAGTAGGTTATGGGTAAAAAAAATAGCATTATTTGGTTTGAAGAAAATAAGGTTTTCAAGGGATTTGTTGTCTTGTTCAAAGCTAAAAAAGTCAATATGGAAATTTTATTTTGTCAATTATAAAAAGTTAACATTTTGGAAAATGAAAATGAAAAGAAACTCATACTTTGTTCACCTTAATTTGGAAATTATAATCCTGAGTGAGATTCATGGCTAGAGATTATGTGTGATCTTTGGGAACTATGATCCTTATTAAGGATCATTTTAAAAAATATTTTTAGTTGTAGATGGACACAATACCTTTATTTAACTTATTTATTTTTCTGTGGTGCTGAGGATCGAACGAACCCAGTGCCTCACACCTGCTAGGTAATCACTCTACCACTAAGCTGTAAGTCCAGCCCTAGCATATGTTTTGTTTATAGAATGTATTATTTCTATGAGTCAATTAAGTTTTGTTTATATAGAGTCATATTATTCTTAACATCAGATTTATTTCCTAGAAATAATTCAGATGTTTAGTGCAAATATCAATTTTTGAAGGCCATTAGAGGAACAATTTACTGCCTTTTTATTTAGTTTATTACTTCTGAAGGGCACTAAATAGTACCCTAATTATCTGAGGAAGTATTGAACTTCAAAATGCATAATTTATTATTAAAGTATCTTTGACTCTGAGGAGTATTTGGTTAATATGAGTATCCAAATTAGCACTGTGTATTAATAATGTTAAACCTAAAATTTTAAAACATGTTTCATTATACTTTATGGAAGTTTCTCTCTTCACCCTGTCCCATTCTTCATGAGAAATATGATAATTTCTTACAGGAGCATTTTTCTACTGTTCTTCAAAAAGAAGAAAAACTCCCATCAGTTCAGGGTAAAGAGGTGGCAAGAGAAGTACCTATTCTTAGTGCTTCAACTCAAATAATGCTCAAAGGACTTTTTATGGTGCTTGACTATCTGTTTAGGCAAAACAGCAGGTAAGTGAAGATCTCTTCTGTATTTTTCGTCTTAAAAATATTGACCTAATTCCTTATTGGATACCAGTATGTGTTTAACATATTAGGTAAAATAGTGGTACAGTTATTATGATGTATTTGCTCTTATTTATTGGCACAGACTCAGATTAATTGATCAAAAAAGATCAACCCAGCTGGGTGTGCTGGCTCACATCTATATCCGAGGCAGGAGAATCATAAATTTGAGACCAGCTTTAGCAATATAGTGAGACCCTAAGCAATTTAGTGAGACCCTATTTCAAAAAATTGAAAGGGCTTGGAAATGTAACTCAGTGATAAAGTATTTCTTGGTTCAATCTCCAGAACCCCTCCCTAAAAAATATTTTTTTAAAATGAAAATGAATATTGAAATGATTAAATAAATATGTTAATTAATTCATCTTTCAGTTTATGGTCCTCCAGTGCTAAACTTCAACACATTTTCTTTTAAGTATAACTTGCATATGCATTTACCAGTGTCAGAGTCTCTTTCCTATGTTGTAGAAACCTTTCCCTTATGAATTGTGGAAAATAAAATACAGCTAATTCATCCTACCTTGTCAAGTTATAGTACTACTTGCTTCCAGCATTTTTTAAAGTGTTTTTTTTTTAATTGTGGCAAAATAAACATAACATTTACCATCAAAATCATTTTTAAGTATACGATTGAATGCCCTAAGATTTTTCACAATTTACAGTCATCACCACCATCCATTTCCAGTAATTTTTCATCATTCCAAACAGGAATTCTGTACTCATGAAACAACAACACTCTAGATTCCTTTCCTGAATTTCCAGGTAATTGTACTTTCATCTTATGAATTTGCTCTTTGTAGGTTTCCCATATAAGAGCAGTACTACAATATTTGTCTTTGTATCTGGCTTATTTCATTTCACTTAGCGTAATGTTTTCAGGGTTTATCCTTGTAGAGGCATATATCAAAACTTCATTCCTTTTAATGACTGAATAATATTCCATTGTATGTATATTACCATATTTTGCTAATTCATTTTTATGTTATTGGACATTTGGGTTTTTTCTCTTTTGCTATTGTGAATAATGCTATTATGAATATTGGTGTACAGTATCTATTTGAGTCCTACTTTCAGTTCTTCTCGGTGAATTATTTACCTTGCAGTAGAATTTGCAAGATAATATGATAATCCTACATTTAGGATGTAGGATTACATCCTACATTAAAGGAACTGCCATAGTGTTTTCTTTTTTTTTTTTTTTTTAACATTTTTATTCATTGTTGATGAATTTTTAAATTTTATTTATTTATTGGTATGTGGTGCTAAGAATCAAACCTGGTGCCTCACACATGCTAGGCAAGCGCTCTACCACTGAGCTACAACCCCAGCCCTGCCATAGTGTTTTCCATAGCATCATTTTACATTCCGATTAGTAATGCACAGTGGTTCTCATTTCTCTACATTCTTGCTAATGTTTACTGTTTTGCACTTTTTGTATAATAGTCATCCTAATGGGCCAGGCATGGTGGCACACACCTGTAATCCCAGTGTCTCCAGAGGCTGAAGCAGGAAGATTTCATCAGCCCTGGCAATTTAGCAAGACCCTGTGTCAAAAATAAGAAGGGCTGGGAGTGTGTCTTGGTAGTCAAGATCCCGTTGGCTCACTCTTTAATTACTACCATACACACACCATCTTAATGGATATTAAAAGATATATGGTTACTCAATGATATTTCCTTGTGGTTTTAATTTGTATTTCCTTAACGACTAGAGTGTTGAGAATCTTTTCACGTTCTTATTGGTCACTTGTGTATCTTCTATAGAGAATATCTATTTATATCTTTTGCCCATTTTTAATTGTTCACTGTTTATTATGGAGTTGTAATAGTTCTTTATATACTCTGGATATTAGTCCTGAATCATATATATACTTTACAGTTATTTTCTCCTATCCTCTGTGTTGTTTTTTTCAACGTCTTGTTAGTGTTCTTTGAGCAGAAAAGATTTTTTTAAATCTTGACATCTACCTATCTATTTTTTCTTCTGTTGCCTTTCTCTTAGTGTCACATGTAGGAAGTTATAATCTGATATCACGAAGCTTTTCCCTTTGCTTTTTTCTAGAGATTTGTATTTAGGGCTCCTGGCATTTTTATAAAATTTTCTCCAGTTATTGCAACCCTGACTTAAACTTTGACATCAATCTTTCTAGGAGTGAATTAGCAATGAATTATTGAAATGAGGACATTTTGTTCTGTTTAAGCCTAGGGCATTTTATAGACTTATTGAAAGAGGTTATAAACTGGATGGAATCATATGTCTTTTGCTTCAGTACCTTCATTAAAAGAAGATGAAGACAACCCAGATTTTAAAGGGACTTAAAAACTATGTGCTTAATGTTTTTTAAACTTTGAATAAAAATTATTTTCTCATGTAATTTAAAAAAGTTTAACCTGCCTTTTAGTTTATTTATCTATAATACTGTTTTGGTTTGTAACAAATTATATAGTAGAGAGTATAAAGAACTCTGACTTGAGGTAGGAGGCCTGAATTTTAATTCTAGTTCTGCCATGATTTATGTAATATTTAAGAATGGAATTGAGAAATGTGTGTTGAGGGAAAGAGAGATGATTTCTAATATTTCCCAAAAGCATTGGTAGATTCTGATCTGATGCCTTAATTTACATCAGAATTATTGAAGTTAGCTTAGTTCATGTGGAGAGAATGTTGTCTTTGAGGGGGAAGCCAGCTCTCTCGTTTGAGTCTTTCTTTCTTTCTGGGTTTCTTTTTTTTGGGTGGTGGTACTAGGGATTGAATACAGTGCTTTTTAGTATGCTAGGCAAGCTCTCTTCCACAGAACTACATACATCCTGGGTCTTTTTTTTTTTTTTTTTGATACCAGGGATTGAAGTCAGAGGCATTCAACCACAGTACCACACCCCCAGCCCTATTTTGTATTTTACTTAGAGACAGTGTCTCACTGAGTTGCTGTTGCTGAGGCTGGCTTTGAACTCAGGATCCTCCTGTCTCAGCCTCCTGAGCCTCTGTGATAACAGGTATGCACCATTGCACCTGGCCCAGGTCCTTATTTTAAATTTTATTTTGAGATGGCCTCACTAAGTTGCCCAGGCTGGCCTTAAACTTGCTGACATCCTCCTGTTTCCACATCTCAAACTTCTGGAATTACTAGGATGAGCCAACACACCCTGCACAATTCAGTTTTAATATAATCATCAGTTTTTGTAGTGCAATATAGCTGGGTCATTGTATGTTATAATGTTTTGTCATTTAATTAGCATTTGTTTGCATTCAGATTTGCAGATGATTATAAAATTGCTATTCAGCAGACTTACTCCTGGACAAATCAGATTGATATTTCAGATAAAAATGGATTCTTTGCTCCACCAAAAAATAAGAAACGTTCACGACAGAAAATTGCAGTTCGTGTGCTAAACTTTTGGTGCTTAAATCCAGCTGTGGTAAGCTTGTGTTGTAAATGAAATTTTTCTCTTCTTGGTAAATGCCAACAATTAAATGAATGTGTTCAACTCTTTTAAAGATGATTTTATATATCTAATGTCTTCTTTTAGGCCTTTTCAGATATTAATGGCAAAGTTCGGACAATTGTTTTGACATCTGGTACATTGTCACCAATGAAATCCTTTTCATCAGAGCTTGGTGTTACATTTGCTATCCAACTAGAGGCTAATCATGTCATTAATAACTCACAGGTTAGTTTTTTTTTAAGGCTCACAGTATTTTCAACCTCGGTGTAATTTCAAATTAGAAGGCACCTGAATTGCCAACAAACAAGCCCTGACAGGAAATTCACATTTAAGCTTTATAATAAAAGAAAACCTGTTAATAAAAGGCAATACTAATTACTAGTATTCCCTTAGTTCATTAACTTTGAATGTAAAGGCTGTATTACAAATTATTCATTTAAATAACTTTTTGTTTTTCTGTAAAATCTAAAAACAAGATTATTTGGACTTTGTTATTGTAGAAACTACAGTAAATTACTTTTGTGTTTTCTTTTCCATTAGATTATGGCGTATCTTTACTCTTCTTTTTATGTCTCCCTTTTTCTTCTATACCTAGATTAATACCTGGCATTTAGCAAGTGTTAGGTATATGTTTGAATAACAGAAATGAACTAGAAATACTCATATAAGTCCTATGATTTAGTATTTTAATTTATTATAACAATATTTGTTTTAAAATTTTTTCTTAGAAATGTTTAAATTGTCATTTTTTTATTATTCCATATACTCCTTTTTATGAAGTGGTTAGTTATATGCTTAATACCATCTGTGTGCCTAATAGAATTCTAGTTTTTTATAAAACTGTGTACACTGATTTATATGTAGTAAAGTTTTGGTTCTTGCTATTACTTGGAAGCAACTATTGACATTTAGTAGTTGGGAGCCTAGAATGATAAGCTATCATTCCCTGAGAATTTGCTTTCTAAATCCCAAACGTTCCTGTTGAGAAACATTACAATAAACAGTAATGATGTTAAGAATACAGGTTCCACATTTCAGTATACCTTCCCTAGAGGCCCAAATAAATATATGAAGTTATATTTTCTTATAACAGAGTTATTGTAGAATTTAATTAATTATGTTCTCAGCTGGTTGCACATCCCTATAATCCCAGCTACACAATAATTCCCCCAACACACGAAGTTCTCAATCTATTGCACAAAAGTCCATTTAATCTGTTATATCACTGAATTATAATAATAATAATTCTTAGTGTGCAGCTGTATTCTGTCATACTATAATACTATCTGCCAACTTAAAAATAGTTGTTTATGCCAGGCACAGTGATGCATGCTGATTAGTGAGGTCCTCAGCAACTCAGTGAGACCATCTCAAAACAAAAAGGGCTGGGGATTTCACTCAGTGGTTAAGCACCTCTGGGTTAAATCTCTGGTACCAAAAATCCCCACAGTTTTTAATTCTAATTATGGTAAACTATACAACAAAAATTTATCATCTTTTACTCATTTATTTATTTTTATTTTTTATCTTTTTGGTACCAGGGATCGGACCCACAGGCACTTAACCATTGAGCTACATCCAGCCCTTTTTATTTTTTATTTTGAAACAGAGTCTAACTAAGTTGCTTAGGGCCTCCCTAAGTTGCTCAGGTTGGCTTGAGATCTTCCTGAGTCAGTCTCCTAAACTGCTGAGAGTACAGGCCTGCACCACCTTATCCAGATGTTTTGTTTTGTTTATACTGAGGATTGAACCCAGAGTCTCACACATGCTAGGCAAGTGCTTTACCACTGAGCTACATAATCAGATGTTTTCTTAAATTTTATTTTGAGACAAGGTCTCACTAAGTTGCCCAGGCTGATCTTAAACTTGCAATCCTCCTGCCTCAGCCTCCTAAACAGCTGATATTGCAGGTGTGCATTGCCATGCCAGGCTATCTTAACCATTTTTCAGCGTCCAACTTAGTCTTGTTAAGTATATTCACATACATGTACAGCCAGTCTAAGAACTTTTCATCTTGCAAAACCAAATGCCTACTCTCATTAAACACTTTGTATTTCCTCTTCCCCACCAGACCCTGGTAATCATCATTCTGCTTTCTGTTTCTATGACTTTGGTTACTCTAGATACTTTATATCTGTGGAACATAAAGTGTTTGTCTTTTTGTGACTGACTTATTTTACTTGGCATAATATTGTAAAGGATGTCTATTATTAGATATTGTCTTCAAAGTTCATCTATTTTAGAGCATGTTTCAGAATTTTCTTTTGAAGGCTGAATAGTAGTTTATTTTATGTACTTGCCATATCTTATATATCCTATCCATTCATTCATTGGTTCCCTCAACTTTTTATTTTGAAAAATTATAAATTTCACAAAAGTTGAAATATAGTATTGATGTAGTAAATATCTTTGTATTATTCACCTAGATTCATCAAATTATTAGCATTTTGTAATATTTGCTTCCCTGTCTTCCTCTTTCCCTCCGTGTATGCCTACACTTTGGTAGATAAGTAATGTGTAGATAAATATTGGAAGATATAAATATTGCACATTTTAGTTAAATTATTTTTTTATTAAAAAAAATTTTTTTTAGTTGTAGATGTACGCATTCCTTCATTTTATTTATTTATTTTTATGTGGTGCTGGGGATTGAATCCAGTGGGAGGCAAGCTCTCTGCCACTGAGCCACAACCCCAGCCCTTAGTTAAATTATTTTAAATGTAATTTGTAGACATCATGACACTTTGCCCTTAAAAGTTACATGTTTCAGGCTGGGGCTATAGCTCAGTTGGTAGAGTGAGTGCTTGCCTTGCATGCACAAGGTCCTGGGTTCAATCCCCAGTAACACACACACACACACACACACACCCCCAAAAAAAAGTTGCATGTGTCTTTTAAGAGTAAACATGTTATCTCACATAGTCAAAATACTGTGATAATACACAAGTAAATTTAATATTGATACAATAAAGTCAGTATTCATATTCTCTAATTATTTCCAAATTTTTTCCAATATTATTAACAATTTTTTTTACAATTGTTCATATTATTTTTAATCCAGGGTGCAATTAAGTATTCTATGTTACATTTAGTTTTAATATCTCTTTAGTCTCTACAATAGTTCTCTTGCCTTTTTTTTTTTTTTAATGTTTTTCAAGACATTTCTAAAGATTTAAGTGTCCAGTTGTCTGAGGCATATCTTCTGATCTGGATTTGTCTTAATGTTTACTCATAAGATTATGATTGAGCAAGAATACTGTGTAGGTTAACATTGCTATTTCCCCTTGCTTCATATCAGGAGATAAATAATATCAGTTTGTCTTAATACTTGTTGATTTGGTTAAAGTGGTACCCATAAGATCTACCTTGTAAAATGTATCTCAATCTCATATAATTTCAAAATACAGGATATTTTATTTTTCAGCAATCTCTATTATTATGTTGTCTTTAGATTCTTAATACAGTTTGTTCTTTCTTCCAGTTAAAATAACCAGACTAAAGCTAGATCTGTGAATGTAGATGATTTGCAAATAAATGTAAAATTTGGTGGGTCTGCTTTTCTACGTCTGAGTATCTTTGAATACCAGTGAATTTGTGAAAATGGTTCCTGTTAAGATTTAGACTTACCTATGGCAAATCATACCAGCTTTCGCTACCAATATTTTGGAATTATCTTACTCTGTTGATATATAGACCTAATTTATTAATTTTATGTGTTCACTTATTTAACCACAAATACTTGTTATATGCTTAATTTTTAGAAAGGTATTGAAAAAGTAGAGATAAGTGAGACATTTTTTGCTTTCAAATAATTTCCTTTCTAAGAGAATTGAGTGATCTAAGCCTATATGTTTGACAGTTTTTTCTTATTTCCTTCATCATTGTTTTCTTTTGTTTTGACTTAATTTTTTGTACTCACACATTGTGATTTCCTTCTCTTCTTATCCTGTGTATATTTTTTAGATTTTCTTTGTGGTTATCTGTGGGGATTACAGATATTATCCTAAAGTTTTAATCTGATCTGAATTGACATCAACATAATCGTATGCAACAAAAGACAATAGAGAAAACTCCCAACAATTTTAAAATAAATTTCTGCTAAATTTGTTGCTTGATCTTCTTTTTATATATGTAAATAGTTCCACCCAAGTACTGATTTTCTTGCCTCAAGCATAACTCTAATATTTAAGTATTTGCATTCTAGGTTTGGGTTGGTACCATTGGTTCAGGCCCTAAGGGTCGGAATCTCTGTGCTACCTTCCAGCATACCGAAACATTTGAGTTCCAGGATGAAGTGGGAGCACTTTTGTTATCTGTATGCCAGACTGTAAGCCACGGAATTTTGTGTTTTTTACCATCATATAAGGTAAGAGAATATTATTGTTTCCTTTGCCTCTGAAAAGATCAAGTAGGATTACCATGATAAACTTCCTAGAGTGAGAAGTGACAAGGTAATAATTATAGTTTTCTGAAATCATGTATTATTTTATATACTTATTAAGATACTTCTTGATTGTTCTATCATGATTTACTTAAAAGTCTAAGAGAATAAAAGTCTGCAAGTAATGTTAGTTATATAAGAGTACTACTTTTGTGTATATGATTTTTATTTTTAGAGGCAAGTTGGTATTTTCATTATTGGAAAGGAGTATTCTTTTTCATTTTCACAAATTGTACTTTTAAATGTTTCATTCACATTCAGATTTCTTTGTTGCCCATTATTTTGCTTCTTGTATCTGGCCAGAAGAGACTTTTTTCTTGTTTTTAGAGTCACTCTGATTTTTAATAATTTTGTTTTAGTTAAATTGAAATTATATGGTATATTTTGGTCCTCCCACTATGCAAAGCATTGAAGTCACATATAATTGCCAAAATAATATCACATTTTATTAAAATCTAAGTCAACTTTTATTGTAGAGATTTGTTCTTTTATTGTGGCATTTGTTCTTTTTCAAGATTGTTTTGACTATGTTGAGTTTTTTGAGATTCCGTGTGCATTTAAGGATAAATTTTGCTTTGTGTATTATTATCATCCTAAAAAAAGTAAGTCTTCTAATTCATGAGCATAGAATGTCTTTCCTTTGAATTATGTCTTAATTTCTTTTAGTAGTGTTTAGGTTTTTAGTGAACAGTCTTTGACTTCTCTGGTTAAGTTTATCCCCAAGTATTTTGTTCTTTATTATGCTGTTGTAAATGAAATTGTTTTCTTAATATCCTTTTCTGTTGTTTAGTACTAGTGTATAAAAAAGCAACTATTTTTCTGTGGTTATCTTGTATTCTATAAATTTGCTGAATATTAATGAATATTAAGAGGGATGTTTGGGTGTAATCTTTAGGGTTTTCTTATTATATAAGATCATGTTCTCTATGAACAGAGATAATTTTACTGTTTCCTTTCTAATTTGTATACCTTATATTTCTTTTTTATGTCTGGCTAGAACTTCCACTACTATCTTGAAGTGGCATAAACTGATATTGATGTTGAGTTCCTTATTGGTATGGGGAAAGATTTCTGCATTTCATCATTAAGTGTGATGTTACCATTTATATAGACTAACTCTTTCCTTCTTTCAGCCCTCCTTCCATCCCTTCTTTTCTTTTGGCAGTGCCAGAGATTGAAACCTGGTTCTCATACAGCTAGGCAGGCACTCTACTACTGAGCTACATCCCCAGCCTTCCTTTTCTCTTTTAACCTTCAGGTCTTAGATCTAATATGAATCTCTTAGAGTCAATTTATTTGGATCATGGATTTTTAAATTTTTTAATTGTTAGTATCAACATTTTGATTGGAGAATTTAATACATTTATACATAAAACAATTACAGATAACAAAAGACTTCTGCCATTTTTCTTTTGATCTTATCTGTGCATTATAGATTTTCCCCCACTACTTTCTCTATCAACACTTCTCTTTCATTTAATGTTTTTTTCTAGTGACACATTAGCGTTTCCTTCTCATTTTATTTTATATATATTCTATAGACAGTTCTTTGTGATTACCATGGGGATTATAGATATTAACCATATATATATATTAACCTAAAGTTATAATAATCTGATTTGAATTGATACCCACCTGATTTCAACTATATAGACTCCTAAACTGCTCCCCCTACCTTTATGTTATTGATGTTGCAGATTTCATCTGTGCCCAGTGACAAATTTATTATTTTTATGTATTTGTCTTTTAAATCCTATAGAAAAACAAAAAAATGGAGTTATAAGCCAAAATTATTATAATACTGAATTTATATTTGCCAGTACTTATATTTACTGCTGATCTTTGTTTATTTCTAATGATAGAAGTTACTGTCTAGAGTCCTTTGATTCATTTTGTTTTAATGGAATTCCAACATATGTGTTTCTTTTATTTTATCTTGTGGTGTTGGGGAGTGAACCCAGGGCCTTGTACATGCTAGAGAAGTGCTTTACCACTTAGCCACACTCCCAACCCTTACAGTCCTTTGATTCTGAAATGAAGGATTCCTTTTAGTATTTCTTGTAGGGTAGGTTTAATAGAATGAATTCCCTCAGCTTTTATTTGTCTGGATATGTTGTCATAATTTCTCTTTCATGTTCAAAGGATAATTCAATCCCCAACACCACATGATTGAACCTTCCCTAGCTCTTTTGGCTGCCCACATTTCTGAGGAGAGCCTGACTGATGATGTTATTGAGGATCCTTTTGATGTGATGTTTCTTTGCTCTTGCGTCTTTCAAGAATCAGGCTTTATCTTTGGCTTTATACAGTTTAATCATGTCTCATGGTTTGGGATGCTTTCGGTTTACCCTCCTTTGAGTTTATTGAGCCTCTTTTCATGTAGACTTGTGCCTTTCATTAAATTGGGGGAATTTTCAGCCATTTTTTTCTGAAATATTTTGAATTGAGTAAAAATGGAAATACGAAGTATACTTTGTGCAATGCAACACAAGTTGTGGTTATGGACACTTGTAGTCTTTAATGCTTATTAGAAAAAAAGAAAAATCTTAAAAAATCATAACCTATACCTCTACCCTAGTAATCCAGAAAAAAGGAAATGGAAAATAAGTACTAAGTAGAGGGAAGGAAATAAAATAAAAGTGAAAATCAAGTAGAAAACTACAAAATAATAGAAGCAAATCAATGAAACCAACAGTTGTCCTCACTATGAAAATATATTAATAAAATTAATAAATCTAGCAAGCAAAACAAGATAAAAAGAAGACAAATTACTGATAACAGAAATTAAGAGGGAACATCGTTATAGAGTCCATTGACATTACAAAGATAATAAAGGGATACTCAACAACTTATGTCAAGCATTTAAACAATTTATATGTAATAAATTCCCTGGAAGAAACAGATTATAAAAAATCAGCTCAAGAACATATAATTTGAAGGCTGGGGATGTGGCTCAAGCGGTGGCACACTCGCCTGGCATGCACGGCACGCTGAATTCAATCCTCAGCACCACATAAAAATAAAATAAAGATGTTGTATCCACCAAAGACTAGAAGAATAAATATTAAAAATTCAATAAAAAGAACGTATACATTGAACATGTACACTGAATAAGTTGAACTATTAATTAAAATCTTTCAGCAAAGGAAAGTGTAGGCTCAATTGCTCTGATTGGTGAATTCTACCATGAAAAAGTATCATTTCTACTCAAAACTCAGAAAATGGAGGAGGAGGAACTCCTACATCATCCCACAAGCATTATTACTCTGATACCAAAACCAAATAAGAATATTACAAGGAAACATTTGGAAAAAAACCAATATGAGTTGGACGGGCACAGTAATGCATGCCTTTAATCCCGGAAACTCCAGAAGGTGAGACAGGAGGATCACAAGTTCAAGGTCAGCTTAGGTAACCAAATGATACCCTGTCTCAAAACAAAAATAGAATATAAAGAAAAATATGTCTGGGGGGCGAGGTGCTCTGGGGATGTTGCTCAGTTGTAAAGTGCCTGTGGCTTTAATACTCAGTACCATCCAAAAGAAACAGGAAGAAACCAATGTGAGTTCAAAAATTGCTACCTCCAAATTAGTAAATCTGATCTATTAATATATAAGAGGTTAATACATCATGACCCAGGAGGATTTATTCCAGGAAATCAGTTTTGTTTTCAAAAATCAATCAGTGTAACTCACCAAATCAACAGGATAAAGGAGAAAACCCACATATCATCTAAAAAACTTGATAAGGCGTTTTATGTAATTTAACACCTGTTCATGATATAAACTCTTAGTAAACAAAGAGCAACCTGATTAAAGGCATTTATGAAAAACCACAGTTAACATCCTACTTAATATTGTAAGTCTAAATGCTTTTTTTCCTTACTCTTAGGTATAAGATACAGATGTCTGTGTTCTCTACTTTTGTACTATATTCAGTTCAGTAAGATAGAAAAATAATTTAAATATATAAAGATTTGAAAAGAAGTAAAATTGTCTCTCCTCAGTCATCATGATTGTATACTTAAAAAATTCTAAGGAGTATATAAGAACTATTACAGTTAGAGTTCAGCAAGCTCTCAATTAATAAGGAGGTAAATCAGTATTCACAGATTATATGTATATAATAGTAATAAACAATTGGGAAGTGAAATAAAAATAACACTAGTTAGACTAGCCTGTAAAGCATGAAGTGATGAAATGTGTCCATGATATGCATGATCTAAGTACCAAAATGTACAAAATACTGATGAAATATTTCAAAGTACACATGTAAGCCTAGGTGAATGTAGAGAAATGTGTTCATAGGTTAGAAGTCTCTATATTGTTAAGGTATCTACTCTCCTGAAATTGTTTTATCTGTTCATGATGATTTGGGCAAATATTCCATTAGGCTTTTTTTTTTTTTAAGAAACTGACATTTTAATTCTGTAATTCACACAAAAATGCATAGATTATAAAAGACATTTAGGAAAATAAATGAGAATAGAATAGAAAGAGTTAAATACCTAGTTTCAACAGAAGGCACAGTAAATCAAGATAGTTGGGTATCAGCCTAAGGATTGTCATATGCAACAAAATATAGTCCAAAATTCTATCTATTATCAAGTGGCTTTTGACAGACATGAAAAGGTAATTTAATGGCACATTGTGAGAAACACATTCACCTTTCCAAGCCCAAAGAATGGATTAAGAGACACAGGAACAACAAAAAGTAAGGCTTTATTTGAATGATGGTCTTGCAGGATCGGGTGCCTGGTGGTCAGATTGTGTATAACCAGTGTTTTATCTCCTAGAGTGCAAGATCCCCCCAGTTCCTCATTGGCTGAGTACTGTGGGGTGCATAGCACATCACTAGGTTTTTCTGTCCCTCTTGGGTTTTATAAAGAAATATACCTTTAGTTGTCCCCATCTCCCTTTGTTGTC